GTATATCTTATTTTCACTCTTACTCCATGGCTGACTGTGTGGCTGGGTGATTGGCTCCTGATGCTCTCGTCTCCTCCTCTCACTCCCAGATCTCTCTTGCTCCTCTCTCCTTCTGCTCCCAGGTTTCTCCTATTTATTCTCTCTGCCTGCCACCCCTGCCTATCCTTTCTCCTGCCTTGCTATTGGCCGTTCAGCTCTTTATTAGACCATCAGGTGTTTTAGACAGGCAAAGTAGCACAGCTTCACAGAGTTAAACAAATGCAACATAAAAGAACGCAACACATCTTTGCATCATTAAATGTTCCATGGCATTAACAAATGCAACACATCATAAAACAATATTCCACAGCAGGGCATAAACCTCTCTCTGTCTGTTTCCCTCCCTCACTGTACCATATATTTGCTTACTATAATGGTGCCAAGCTGCCCAGGGCCGTGGGATGTGGCTTCTCTGTCCACTCAGAGAAAACTTCTCTGAGCTGGCATGTCTTGAAGAATTTTCTGAACTAAAATTCCCTCCTTTCACATGACTCTAGCTTGTATCAACTGGGCATAAAACTGGCCAGGACAGGGACTCCTTTAGGTAATGTAGGATGATCTCATTTTTTAAATTGAAATTTTGACAGAGTCTTTCCATTATATAGCCCTGGCTGTCCAGGCACTCGTTCTGTAGACCAGGCCTTGAATTCCAAGATCCTCCTGCCTCTGCCTCTGGAGTGCTAGGATTAAAGGCATGTGCCACCACCACCTGGCAAATCTTTCTCTTGTGTATTTCTGTGGAACATTAGGATCCAAATACCAGGGTCTGAAGATAGAACTTTCACTACTCTTCAAAAGAATATGGAAACAATTATGTGTATGATTGATCAGCGCTGCAGTCCCTAATGTGGGCTAGAGAAAGGATTTGTCACCTGATTGTTATAGTGAAGTATAAGGGTGGTCTGCATAAGGTATGTCCATGTGCTAGGTGTCAAAAATCTGTGGAAAAGGTATATTTGAGGATATCCTTGAGATGAAGAGCTTGCTGGCCATGGTATCATACTACTTTAATTAGAGAAACCCTGTCTTGAAACACCAAAAGAAAAATAAAATTAAGAAGCAGCTTGAAGTTTTCAGATTATTGGAGTTGTGTCTTTGAAGGGATTGTGGGAGTTTAACCCTTTCTCTCTCTCCCTCTTCCTCCTCCCTTCTTCTTTTCATTTCTCTCTCTTTCTTTTGACCTCAGCCATGAAGTAAACAGTGTTGCATTATCATATGGTCCTGATATGCTGTATTGTCTCAACATGAGCTAATAATGACAGCATTAATTGATGGTGGGGCAGAACTCTGAACCCATGAGCCCAAGCAAACCTTTTCTTGTTACAAGGTAATTACCTCTGGTATTGTTACAGTGAAGAATTAGTTAATACACAAACTAGCCTCAAAAGCTTGCCAGATCTGAAAGACATGCTGGGCCCGGGTGGCATTTGTATTCTATAGCCTCCTGTGAATACTTGGATAGTTTAACTTTAACATTTAATTTATGGTTGGAGATGTCACTATTCTTAATATAGTTAGGATGTAAATAAAAACTATTATTGACTGTATAGATACATATAGATGATGGTAAAGTAGAGGTGGATAATTTCTAGTTCTTACATTTTAATAGTCAAGTCTCTTGAAAATTCTGTCTAAACAAATTAACTATAAATTAGTAGTAATCGTTGTAGTATAATGAATGAAATACCATGGAAACAAAGAGCAAGGAGTTATGGGCTATTTGGGGTGTTGATTAGACTCATGCGAATCAGTTCTTGAAGTGTAAGTGGGAATCTTCCAGGGGATGCTATTGTAACATGAGAGATGCCCATCTGCTCATCATTACTCCCAACCCAAACTTTTAAGCCCTTGCGATGGAAACTTTCACTTACTGAGGCCCTTGAGGGAAGCAGTAGTTTTTTACTTCTGGGTCTTTCTAGGGAGCTTTCTGGAATCATGAGATCAACACAAAACTATAAATTCAAACATTTCAAGAAAATTGGGATAATAACAGATACAGATGGCAGATGGGTTGAATACAGACACTCAAAAGAAATCCCACACTAGCTCAGAATTGAGTATAATAGAGGGTTATTTATTTAGGGGTAGACTCACAGATTACAGTCCTCTGCATGTAACTTAAAGGCTACTGGCTATAGGAATTCCTACAGCAACGGGTTGTGGGTTGTGGTTAAATCCATGTGGTAAATAAGACTTGACACTGCACACACTTGTGAGGGTAAGAATGGAGTCAGAATAGGCAGCCTGTGCCCTTGTTTTTTTTGTTTGTTTTTAGCATAGGGTGTTAGTACTTTCTGGATGTTAATTGGGAATGTGGTTTGGGTTTTCTGTATGACGGGCTATAAATTTATATTTTAGCAGTGCACTTTTGCATTAATATATAATGGCCTTGAAATCTCTGAACCCCTTTCTTTCTTAGCTTTTCCTAAGAAAAAAGAAGTGTGTAAAAAAAACTATGTGACAGTGCTAGATTTAGCTCATTTTAACAAAGGTCACAGCATTTCTGAGTAGTAAACATTAACAAGATCTTTCCAGTGTCTGGATGCTTGGCAGACGTGCCTCCATCTGGAATACATGACTGGAGTCTAGATGGGGGACAGACGTGGGCCTATATAGCACATGAGCATCTGGGAAAGGCAGACAGATCCTTTATTTTTCTTCAGCCACAGCCACAAAGTGAATTGAGGCAAAGACTTCCTCTTTGCTTGAATCTAGGAGACTCCTGCAGGCTTAGAAGGGGCTTGCCTTACTGTTTCAATTTGGCTTTTGAAACCCAAATGACTAAGAGGGACTTGCGATGCTGCAGTCAGGAACACAGGCTTATTTTAGGGCTAACCCAGCAACACCTGGATTCTATTCCTAGGCTATTTCCTCCTGTGACGATAATATCAGCAATTAATGTACTTGCACTTTAAGCTTTACTTTTCAGGGAATACAGCCCTTGGGAAGGCCAGCTAATTAATTTCTGTAATGTTTCAGATTAGTTTTATTGTATATTTTATGACCTTGAAGATAACTGATTATTAAATCACAGAAATATTAATTACTCTTGAAAGCACTTCCTGTAAGGGAGCGATGGAAACCGGCCTTACAGGCCTTAGACAGTCTAACAAGTTTTTCTCCCACTACTCCAGGGCAGGTCAACAATGTGCCCATCTATTTGTTAAGAAAGAGGAAAACATTCAGAAACAAGGTAATATTACTAACAGAAAAGTAATATGCTTCAATGTTCTAAGGAAAACGTATGTTTATATGAAGTTACCTGAAATTGTCTGTAGTTGGACGGATCAAATGCCTTCTGGGATATGATGACATCATTTGGACACTTAGCCATGAGGACTTGGGTTAAAGTGTTACCTTTGTCACTCATGGCTGCTCTTGTTCTGGTCAAGATACTTGGTAATTTGCAGTAACAATTTTCTCATGTAAAATAATTAATAACTATTGTTAGTGTGTTACTTTTTGCCTTAAGCATCAGCTTTTCAGCTCCGGACACTGCTATCTTTTACTGGAATCTCTGCCGCTCAGGTGCAATTGTTTTCTCCCATTGCGTTCTCACCTGTCTCTGTCTCCGTTCCACAAATCTGTTGGAATTGTCTTTTAAAATCATACCAGTTGTGCAATTCTTTTGCCTAAAACTCTTTATTAACATCCATTCATGTTGAGACTACTACACTTACATCCATACCACTCTGAATATCTTTGATCTTGTCTAATATTGGAAATTAAGTGTGCTCAAGCCTGGTTAGAACTCGGATATGAGAATAAAACATAAATTTCTTACCATGGTCTAAAAGTCTTTCAATAGCCCAGCCGTTGTTCAACTTTTGGTCTCATCTTGCCAAGATGTCTTTCCTTGTTCACTATTTACTTGCTATGATGATTTACCTGTCCATAGGCCGAATGAGTTTGTTCTATGTTTAGGCTTTTGCCTATTTCTAAGTGGTTCCATATTTATTTACTGCATTAAAGTTTAGGGCAAATATTTTACATTGAGTGTTCATCCTCAACTACTCGATTTACAGTAGCTTCTCTTTTCAGTTTCTTACACTCTAGTACAATAAATAATACCACATTATAGTGTGAATTTGCCCTATTAGTTAATTATGTAACTTTTGTCAGTTTCTTCTCACCTTAATGAAGGGCAGCAATTTATGTATTCTTAGCATGTATTCCCTGAGTTTTGAGTGATACTTCACAATCTAGCATGTGCTAACCACTTAGTGAATAAATTTTTGGATGAATAATGAATAAATTTAAATTCAATAATGCATGGAAGTGTTAGCTCACATTGTGTCTAAGTTTGCTGTTTATATTCTTTCTCTTGGGACCTTCTGTATTCATTCTGTTCTATTCTATGCTTATATTCTCCTGGCCATTAAGAAATAATGATAACAATAGCTAATACTTATTTACTAAAAATTAAATGAGAGACTCAAAATATTTTACAAGTTTTCTAACCTCTATGATATACATTATTGTAATTCTAATTATTAAGATGAAGGAACTGAAGAAGAGTAGGGTCAAATAAGAAACAAAGTCAGCAGGTGAATAAACTGGGTTTTACAGTGAGGCAGCCTGGCCCCACATTCATGATCATATTACTAACCTGCTCAAATCCCCTTTGTTGACCTAACAAAAGTTTCCTCACAGTTACAAGACTCTCCTACTCTTTGTTCATTTACTTGTGTGCATGTAAATCCAACATCGGTTGAGCATCATTTACAAGCCAGGCACTGACCTAGGTTCTAGTACTGAAGAACATGACCTACTCTTTTGTCTGTTCTTTTGAGAGAAGGAATAAAAAGTAAAAGAAACATGAACATCCTTAATTGTCCTATACTTTCGGCAGAACATCAGACTTTTGATAAATGAGTAGACATTTGGATATTTTATAACCTAAGGTTGTCCTTTTATGACAAATAATGGGCTTAGAGACTTACAAGGTGACTCTCAGATACCTGATTTCTCCAAACACTGCTGCGGCTTTCAGAGTAACCATAACTTGAGCACCATCAGGGCCTCCAAGAACTTGGACTTCTCCATGCTTGATGATGTACATTTCCTTACCAATTTCTCCCTAAAGGCCATATTAAAAAAAGAAAATTTTAATTATTTTATTTTTTAACTGTTATAACCCAAATAAAAACATTAAGATCTTAGAGAGGAGCAAATACAAATAAAGGAAACAAGGAATATCATGTGAAGGTATTTATTTTAAGATCTGGAGTAATTTGAAACGTTGGAAGACATTACTTTTCATCATGTGAGTCCTGCAAACCATCACAAGGCATGAGAAGATACACTGGTCACTGTATTATCTCAGGATGGGCATGGGCAGAAAATGTATCATATTGATTGATGTACTGATCATATTGGTGGTTGAAATCTGCTGCTTTTGGGCTCCATTGCTCAGCCCTAAAGAAGATGTTTTATGTAACATAGGAGCCTGAATTTCAGCCATTCAAAGTCAGTCCTGTCTTCTGTCTGTACCGCTGAGGTGTGATTCAGGAAACAGGAGACCTTGAAGCTCTTGTTCCACATGGAAAGACTGTCAGCGCAGTTGTTTTCACTGAGTTCTTGTAATAACCAACAATTTACCTCTTACAGTGTGTTCATGGTTATCGATCAATGGTGCTATTTTGTACCTCTGAGGCAGTATGGATATTCGAATATGAATAGAATACCGAAGTTCACAAGACCAAATACATAGCTATTTTAAACATTTAATGTAAATACAACGATTTTTTATATGTCCCTACCATCTAAATTAGAATATGAGCCACCGGTTTTCATGTAGTTATAAATCCAATCCTGTTTACAATCCCTATGTAAACAGCTGGGAAGATGGCTCAGGCGAATAAACGCTTTTCATGAAAGCATAAAGACAGGTTCAGATTCCCAACACTTACATAGAAGCCAGGCAAGAATGATGACCTGGCTATAATCCCAGTGCTCAGCAAACAGAGACAGGAGGTTCCCTGGCTACCTGGCTACCTAGACAAGATGAGCTGGTTAGTTCCAAGTTTAATAATAAACTTTTTACTTAAGTAAGTAAATGTACAAGAATGTAGGATGACCTTTAGGGTAAACCTTTGGTGTCCACACCCATATACATACATGTAGGCTCACCTGAAAACATGAAACTGTTTCTAAAGTTCCAAAGACCTAGGGTATTTTCCTAAAAATCAAATGCTTTACCATTATCATGTTGGAATATACAATTATGAAATTTCACCTCTTCATTCATATCTGAAAAAACAAAATTCTTATCCTAAACATATATTTACATGAAATATAGGTTGAAGCAGAAGTTGCAATATATATGGATTTTATTATAGTTATTTATATAATTTCAATGTCAATAATAATTTGCCTTTGTGTAGTACTTTGAAAATTTATCAAAATAGGGGGCTGAAGAGATGGCTCAGCAGTTAATTCTTAGCACCCACATCAGGAGGCTCACAACTGCCTTAGCTCCAGCTTCCGGGGATCTAGTGTCCTTTTTGGATCTCCTGAAACACCTGCATATATTGAAGCATGATTTATAAAAACTCAGGGAGAGAAATTGGTGTTCAACCTCAGTCCGAAACAACAACCCTGCCTCCAGGAATTTCAGAATGAGACTGTGAGTGAGAGCTGTCTCCTCCCATTTTATAATCCTCTCTAGTGATGGGATTAAAGGCATGCACTGCCTGATTTCTATGGCAAACTAATGTTACTACTGGGATTAAAGGTATGTGTTACCATTCCCTGGTCTGTAAGGCTAACCAGTTTTACTCTCTGATCTTCAAGCAAGCTTTATTTATTAAAATACAAATGACATGCCACTGCAGCATATACTCATACAGAAATGTAGACATGCACATAAATAAAAATAATCCTTAAAAATCATCAAGATAATGGATATTTGCATATCTTCTTGTTTTAAACCATATATTCATTCCCTCAGAGCACACTGCTTTTTATCTGGAAAATATTTTGTACTTCATTTAATTCTTGTAAAAATTCCAGTGAGAGGTGTCTCTTATTTCCTCTTTTTTGAAAATTGGAAATAGAGGTTATATAAGCTAAGAGTTTCAAGCAAAAACTACAAGGCTGACCAGTGACAGCATTAAAACTGATAACACCTATATCACCTGACAAACATACAGATATACTGTATCTTACAATGAGTACAGTACCAAGACTGATGTTTTAATAACCAATGGAATAATATGAACAATTTAAAAGGAAAGTAAGTCACTTGAAAATTAGTGTCCTTTTACTCTAGGAAGGATCCCTAGGCCAGGGTCCTATTCCTGTTATTATTATTTTTTGTATGAAGTAATTTCAAAGAGTTGGAATGATGTTTCAAAGGCAGTTATTACAACTGACTGGAAGTACAAGTACATAATGGGTACTTAAATATAGTTCAGAACTTCTAATTATTTCTTAATGATCATTTTGATAATTTCCCAAGGAGATCAGGCATAATCAGCGAGCCTAAACTTCCACTACCTCTTGCATATTTCTGGGTTAATTTAAGCTTTTCTGCAGGCTTAATTAGCATTCAGATGAAGTAGACATCACCTCATGAGAACAGAGGCTGACAGCATGCTCAAAGCAAGATCGACCCTAACTTTAGACTGTTTCTTGTGCTAATTTGGAGAAAGTGTTGAAAGGCAAGCACTTCAGGTAGAGCAAGGTAACTCTCAGTGAGAGTGTATGCCAGAAAAATTAGAATTCTTGTTCTGGAGGCTATTCTCAAAGCTAGTGGGGAGCATCACAGCACTCGGGGCACCTCATCAGAAGAGTGGTTCCTTTACCATTAACACCATGAAGAGCTCCTTTGGAGGTAAAACTCCCAAAACTCTACTGCAGAAATACTGGATGAGAACCTTTGGAAGTCCCACAAGTCTAAGCCTTGAAAAGCTCGCTGGTTATTTTCTGATGGTAGCACAGCACCCCTAGAAGACTCCCATGTAGTCTTGAAGGCCCACAGACTTTCTCAAATATCGGACCGGAACCCTGCCATTGCTTCAGTTATTTAGGTAACCTCTAGTTGAGCGTGACTGTTTTCCTTTCCTCTTTTCTGCAAGTCCTTGTGGAAATAGTAAAAACATATCAAATTGAATTCAGCTACTTAAACTTTGATCAAGTAATAGCTTTTGTTCTCTGTCAATATTTAGAATCAGGCAAATCTTCATTTAGAAAAAAAAACCAAACCTAAAAATTAAATCAAAGCCAACAAGAGTCACTTGTATTCTTCTGCCTCCTTTCCCTCCACTTTTGTCTTTCCTTTCCTCACAGGTATGCATGCACTCACTTGTTTTTATTATTGGATGAATTTGATATAATGATAAAATTAGAAAGCTGCATCCCTTCACCTCACACTTCTTTAAGCAAATTTGCATTGTTACCAGGTACAAGTGCTAAAGTTTCTACTCCTTTCTCAATATCCAGCCCCTTCAGGCCCTGGAACAACTTGAATCTGTTTTAATGCACTCAGTCTATGTCATTCCTGTGTGCCACTGCCCCCAAAGAAACTCTTAATTAGCCTTGTTTCTTTCTTTTGTTTTCTTCCTCTCTCCCATTTTAATGAGCTTGATTTCATTTCACTTACAATCACTCTGTATTCTACCTGGATGAGTTTATATGAGTTGTATATGCTTGTGCCAGAATCTCTTCTTCCTTTCTGTTATCGCTGACAGTTCCTTCTCAGCCACCCTTTCTCATTCCTCTTCTTTGATCTCCTTGGTAATATCGGTGCCTTCACAGTCACAGCCTCAGCCTTCTTCCTCATGCCATGTCTTGACCTCTTAAAGCCAGCTTTCATTATATTCCGGTTGCCAAACATTCACCTTTGATTTCATCTTCTTTCAGCTGATTGATTCCACCTATAAGCTGGTGTCTGCATCTGATGTATTTGAAATATTTCACACCCCATTTGATTTTGTCTTTTCCCACTATTCTAGTCCCTTATTTGCTTCCATTACTTGAATATGACAGGCTCTGTCTTGCCTCTCAGATCATTGCTGCAACTTCTCATAAAAAATATTAGCCCATCGATTTCCTTTTTCTTTTCTTTTTTTTTTTTTAACTAAAGGACTATTTATCTTTAGGCTTTACAAAGGTCACAGCTGACAAACTGACAACTTCTCTCTACCCACTTCCAATATAAATAAGCGCCTTCAGTATTCTGCCTTCTAACAACTTCTGTTTCTCTTTATATAAGCACACTTTACAGTTTTGCATTAAATTAATTTAATTTTTTGTTTCCTTTCTCTTCCTTCAAGTCAATCTTTCTAATGGTCATATTTTGGAACTAGTTGGAAATTTTTTAGACTAATATGGGGGACTCATCAGGACCAGCTGAATGTTTATGTGTGGAACTGACTCCTTAGTTCATATGATGCTGACATACTGTGATTTGAACACCTTAGTCTAGACTGTAAACCTCTGAAGGACTTTGGTTGTTTTTTGCTCATTACCCATTATAACACCTGTCCCAGAATATTAAAAACTGTTTATTGCAGCTGGGAAGTGGTGGCATACACTTTAATCCCGGCACTTGGGAGGCAGAGACAGGTGGATTTGTGGGTTTGTAGTCAGCCTGGTCTACAGAGTGAATTCCAGGACAGCCATGGCTACATAGAGAAACCCTGTTTCAATAAACAAATAAATAAACAAAACAATAACAACAACCTTCCTCAAACACAAACAGATAAACAAGACAATGACAACCTTCCCCCAAACAAATAAAAACAACTGGCTTACTGTTTGTGGAATACATAATTTAAATGGCTTTAATACGTCTTACTGTAGTTCTCTACATTCTTCCTGCAGCCACAAATCCCTTCCTCCCTTCCCTGGCCCAGCCAGTTCTTTTCCATACGTAACTGGATTCACTTAAGTTTATTTCCCAAGACTTATTACAGGCTTCTTCTTCAGAAGTCTTCCAGCAGCTGCCCTTGCTTTTGTCCTATAACCTGGTATTTATTCTACACTATTTTGGAATGGAGTAAGTGCTTTTCATCTACACTTACTTGTGAATTCTCCAAGGCCTGAGGTCATGTCCAATTTTTTGTATTGTTCACTTTCTTTTATTTTTATATCTTATTTGTTTTTAAAATTTTATACAAGTATATATATAACATGTTGAACATATATATCACACTATACCTCTCTACCTTCCCTTTCTTTTGTATCTCCTATTAGTCTCCTTTGTCCTCCTACACATTTTACTTCCTACTTTAATTTTACATGTACACATACTTTTATGTTCTATTTTAGATTTTGATTGTTCGCTTCATCATTGAGTTAGTTTCTTTAGATACAAAATTCAGGATCTCATTGTCTCTTGTTTTTGGAAAAGAACTTGCTCTATAAATGAGGATGTCTTAGAACTGATGACTCAGAACTCCCTGTGTCACTCCTATTGACTCAGACCTTGTGATACTCTTGCCTCATCCTTTCCTGAGTGCTGTGATTATAGACATGTTCTTAATTATTTTTTAAGATATTGATCAGAGACTGGTGTGGTGATGTACACCTGTTAATTCCAATGCTTGAGAGGCAGAGATAGGCAGCTCTCTATGAGTTGCAGGGTAGACTGGCCTATATAGTGGATTCCAGGCTAGCCAGGGCAACATAATGAGACCCATCAATTTGTGTAAAAAGACAGACACAATATACGAACAGTTATTATTTCTTCATGATAGAATTTCATGATTGTGGTTTATATTTTCTATTTAAGAAATAATAGACATATGATACTTTTTTAGTCATAAAATTCACAATAAAGTTTTAAAAATGGCATTGATTATCTACTAATTGTGTGAAATAGCAGATAGCTTGCCGATGATGCAGGAAAAGGAAAAGCACCTATCACTTTTATAGTTTGTCCTTCATTTAAAATGTTCAAATTTGATGGCATATTGTTTCTGATATTTTACATTTATACAAATATCTTTTCAAACTACCTACATGTCTATCCAATGACATATACAATGGAATCTATATTATTTTGTTCTATTTTGAACTCCAAGAATTAAATGTATTGTTTAGTGCTTTATAATATGGAAGTCACTATGGATAGATTTTTACTTCAAATACATTATTGACCTATGTCCAAATTCCTCTAATGTCTTATTAACTGTGCACTTGAAAATAGTATGCACTTACCTTTTTATACACAAAGTCACCAGGTAAATAAATAGTGGATTTCAATCTTAGGAGTAGCTCATAAATCATCTGTGTGTCACAGCCCTATATAAGGAGAACAATAATTTTACAGACATGGCCAAAAGCAAACATCCTAAGTTATTGTAAAAATAAACTGTAAATAGTTAATAGTCATCCATCTTCTTCTCCAATGTTAACTTACAATATATATGGACTTGCCTTTATCTAAACTCTATAGAGAAAAGATACCAATATCAAGAGATTATAACAATAAAGAAATATTACCTTAACTCACAGCATTTGCTAAACAGCTTTCTTTTGTAAAACAACATTACTAAAAATTTTTGATATTATTTAACTCTTTAAACTTATGTATATGTCTTTCTTCTCCAACATAATGATCTTCTTAAAGATGGGAAGATACTTATGAAAGCAGTATCTGCCACACTTAAAGTATTGGTCGGAACAAGGGAGCCTCCAAAAGACTAACCAAAGCCCTTAACATATATGTGACAGTTGTATAGCTTGGTATATTTGTGGGACTCATAACAATGGGAGAAGGACTGTCCCTAATGCTTTGACTGGCTCTTGGGAACCTATTCCTCACACTGGGTTGCCTTGCCCAGTCTAAATACAAGGGAGAGAGCTTAAACTTTCAGAAACTTGGTATGCTATACTTTGTTGATACCGTGGGATGACTGCCCATTTCATAACAGAAACAGAGGAGCAATGGATTGAGACTGGGGATAGAAGCGAAGAGGAAGGGAATGGGAGGAGCAGAGGGAGGGAAAACTGGTCTGAAAGCAAAATAAATAAATTTTTAAAAGTAAAGTTTTGTTTGGGACTGTCTGGTTCACATAGCTGCCTTTTAGTGACCTCTTGCTTATTGGCTGACTATAGAGACAATCTACTTGTCTCACTGAACTAAACTCTATACGCTCTATGGAGTGTGACATTTTCTTTTATTGAAGATAGATTCTTAGATTTTTTTGCCATACAATATATTCTGACTGTAGTTCCACCCCACCATCCCCCCCCCAGGAGCTCTCCATTTCTTCTCCCCTCCAGATCCACTCCTGTCTCTCATTAGAAAAGGACAAGCTTCTTAGAGATAACAAAATACAGTAAATTAAAAAAAAAAAAAACTATCACATCGAAGTTGGACACAGCAACCCAAAAGGAGAAAAAGAATTCTAAGAACAGGCACAAGAATCAGAGACCACTTGTTCTCACAGTCAGGAGTCCACCAAAAATACTAAGCTAATAGTTATAATATATATGCAGAGAACCTGTTGCAGACTCCTGACGGCCATGTACTTGCTGTTTGAGTCTCTGTGAGCTCATATGTGTCTTGCTTAGCTGATTAAGAGATCCTGTTCTCCTGGTGTTTTCCATCTCTCTTGGCTCTTAGAATCTTTCCAGTCCCTCCATTTGATTCCTTGAACTCTGAGGGGAGGGATTTTATTTAGACCTCCTCTATTTTACACTCTTGATCCACATAATATCTGGCTGGAGGTCTCTAGATCTGTTCCCCTCTGCTGCTGGAAGAAGCCTCTTTTATGATAAATGGATAAGAGACTGATCTATGAATATAGCAGAATATCTTTAGGAATTGTTTTATTGATTTTTTTTCTTTTTTGTCCAGTTTTGTTTGGTTTTACCCTACGTCTCTGAGGTATCTAGTCTCTGATTCTTGTTACCCAAGCAGTGTTAGGTATGGGCTTCTTCTTATGGAGTAGGCTGTAAGTAAAATTGGACATTGGTTGGCTATTCCCACAAGTTTTGTGCCAACATTGCCCTAGTATATTTTGGAGGGAGGACAGGTTGTAGGTCAAAGGTTTTGTGGCTGGGTTGGTGTCCACAATTCTCCTTCAGTAACCTATATAATGCCTCCCCCTACCAAAGAGATTAGAACCTTGGTATGAAGGCTCCATTTATGTACTAGCTCAACCATTCCACGTTCAATGAGTTGTGTGGGTGTTGTCCTTTGCAACGGGACCCACTGTCAGTTTGCAGAGAGCAACCCTCTATCTTAGCGTCAGCCTGGATTGTTTGTGAATTTCCGTAAGACCCCTTTGGCCAACAACTCAACTGAATACTTGACTACAAGAGGTGACCGGGTGACACTTTGTATCCCTCATTATATCACCTTCACAAATTGCATGGAGTTTCCACTGCACTAGGTTTCCATGCCACCCTCCAAATGTCCCCAATTCCAGTCACCTCTCCCTGTATTCTATCTCTCCAAGCCATCTCCTCCCCACACCAGCTTGATCCCTCACACTTCAATCCCCACCATCCCCAGTCTACATATAAAAATCTATTCTATTTCACCTTCCCAAGGAGATCCATAAGCTCCCCCCCCCGGCCCCTCCTCTTTACCTAACCTCTCTGCATCTAAAGATTTTGGTTGGTTATAACTTACTTAATGCTTAATTCCGCTTATAAGTGAACACATACCATTTGTCTTTCTGTGTCTGGGTTACTTCACTTAGAATGAACTTTTTGAGTACCATCCGTTTGGCTGTGATGTCATATTTTTAACAGCTGAATAATACACCATTGCATAAATGTACATGTTTTTTTAAATTTATTCTTCTATTGAGGGTCATCTAGGTCATTTAGTTTCTGGCTATTATGAATAAAGCTACAGTGAGCATGGTTGAACAAGTGTCCTTGTGGCAGCATGGAGAGAACTTTGTGTATATGTGCAAGAGTGGTATATCTGGGTCATGAGGCAAACCATTCATTAGTCAGCTGTCTTTCATTACCAGTGACTAACTGCATACATTCCTCTATTTTCAACTGCAGATTGAAAAAAACTGCTATCCACAGTTTCAACAATTCTGTTGAAATAATAAGTACATACATAATATATTAAAGATATTTACATTTACTTCTTCAGGTGTCAAAACAGCCATCTGACAGTTTGTTCATCCTTGTTTTTACTTATTGATAACTTCAATTTAGAGACCAAAGTGTTTCCAATCTTGAAAGGGCCATCACTGAAACCCCAGGACAGTTTCAATGGACAGAGGACAGAAGGACCAGGGGGATGCTTCCCGTGGCCTCAAAAATCACAAAGCTTGTTTTCTTAAAGCAGGATTTTTCTTCTGTGTAGTTCATGGCACTGTTTACTTATTTAATGCCTTACAATTTCCATTTGTCTTGCAGTGGATTTATGTATGGGCTTATTTCAGTGCATTATTGAACAGTAAATTGGGTAAGGCCTCTCTCTCTAAGGCAAACATTCAGTGGAACTGACAGTAAATATCACAGAAGGTTCTTCTGCCATCTACTGAACCCAAGTTTGGAAATGGAATCTGACTGCACTGCGGAGGAATGTCATCATGTCCTACTTTGCTTTCTATTGCTCTGATAAAAACTGCTAGCAAAAGCAAGGTAGGGAGGAAAGAGTTTGTTTGGCTTACATGTTCTAATCACAGTTCATCACTGAGGGAAGCCAGGTCAGGAGCTCAAGTAGAGCAGGAACCAGAGGCAGAAAATGAAGTAGAGATCATGGAGGACTATTGCTTCTTGACTTACTCTTCAAGGCTTGCTTTCTTATGCCACCCAGGACCACCTGCCTAGGTGTCTTAGTCACTGTTCTATTACTGTGAAGAGATACAATGACCAAGTTACTTTTCTAAGAGATGTTATTTAATTGAGACACCTGCTGACAGTTTGAGAGATTTAGTCCATTATCATCATAGTGAGAAGCATGGCAGCTCACACACAGGAATGGTGCTGGAGAAGTAGCTGAGAGTTACATCCTAATGCCCTAGCCAAGAGAGAGAAAATGGGCCTGGGATGGACATTTGAGACCTCAAAGTCCATTCCTCGTGATACACTTCCTCCGATAGGCCACACCTCCTAATCCTTTCAAATAGTGCTGCTCCCTAATACTAAGCTTTCAAATATATGAGCCTATGGGGACCATTCTTATTCAAACCGCCATACCAGGGGTGCCACTGCACCGAGTAGGCTGAACTCCCTCACATCAATCATTAGATAAGAAAATCTCCCATAGATTTTCCTACATGCCCATCTAATGGAGGCATTTGTTCATTGAGGTTCCCTCTTCTCAGATGACTCTAGCTTGTGCCAATTTGACAAAAACCTAACAAATACATGTGGTAACTTTATTTTTAAACCTTATTCTTTGGTCAGGACAAGAAAAGGCTGATGTAGACCCTGGATGGCTGACATTTTATACTCCATGTAACTCGGGGGATGGGTGTAGGCATCCCAACTTTCCCTGAAGCTTCTTTCAGACCCCTTGATCATCTCTTTGAATTTTTTGTCATGCCATGCAAATAAAAGCTCCTAGGTTTCCTTGTAGTACCTCCAGAAAGCAGTGAATATTCGGGGATCATGAACGATGCTGCTATGTCAGTCACCCTAATACAGAGCCTTTAGATTTGATATCCCATTTTTGTGATTCCACAAGATTTCCAGCATGGCTGCACTGGTTAAACAGGGCAAACAATGCCTACTGGGCAGAGTCCAAGACTACCTGCACCTTTTCTCCATTGACCTGGCCACTGGTGATGAGCAGGTATAGGATGTGGGTCCGATATGCCATTTTTCATGGGAAAAAGCAGAGGAACTGAACTAACCAGAACTAACCTGCCTGCTAGATAGCCATGTGCTCACACTCAAACCCCAGAGAGACATTTCTCTCAGGGATATCAGCAAACCAATTCCAGCAGTGTGTGGAATCTGAGTCACAGATTGAAAGTGCACAGATTAACACCAAACACGCATAACTTTTTTTCTTTTCTACAATATTGTGAGGAGAGAATGCTGATGAAACATTAACATGATGGTTGTATTAATATTAACAATTATATTAAAGTTTACTGCTTTGTTTGTCTTTTTTAACTCTTCCAACTCCCCTGTGGGGCTAAGAGTCAATTTTGTGTTTTAGGCAAAGGCTAGGAAGCTGAGGAGGCCTCTTTGCTCCCTCTTGTGTCACCCACCCAGCAGGCATTACCTCCTGAGCACTCTAAGGTCAATGGGTCTGGACTATTTGCTCTCTTCTCACCAGACCTTGGGACATGCTAGACACAGAATGAACAAGG